GCATCCCTTTAGAATTTCACTTTGGCTTGATCAAGACCACAGTTGAGCCTACCCCCTGCGGTCTTAATCACCTCCGCGTCTTCTTTCGGGCACCACACTGTGAGCCTGACGCCAGCACTGCTCTCCTCGCCAAACTTGTTGAAGTTAGTAACTCTCCACTTTGAAGTGTCCTTAACACAGCTGTTTTGCTTCTGCAGTCTGCTAAGAATACTTTCCTTGCCTACAGTAGAGTCGTACACAAAAATAAGTAATCTTCTTTCGTTGCGCAACGCCGTTAGCGTGTCAGCCGTCAGCTTAGCTTCAGGCCAAAGGCCTTCCAACTTAGTTACCGTGCTGATTAGCCATGCCTTTGACTGTTGGTTCTTTCACTTAATGGTAATGTACCCATCCTCAAGGCGAGCGTTGCCAACAAACCCTATGTCACCTATTCCGCCATCTAAGGACTCCACGGCGTTCAACAACGATGCTTTAAAAGCAACTAAGTGTTTCTCGCCAAGAGGTCCTTCGACTCTTGAATCGGTGATGCCCATATTGAGATCCGTCCCAGCGAACTGGGCATAGGACCTCTTATGGGCAGGGCCATCCTTTGCGTCTCCTACTGCCCGCCTGCCGTAATTCTGTTTATTTGCAGCCTTAATTGTGCTAGGTAGATGGTCCGCTCTACTGGTCTGGGGCCCCACTTGCTTAACAACAGTTATAAGTTGTCTGCCTTGTTTTGGTTGGTTAACACCCTGTATGGGTTGTCCGCCTTTTTTAACCCCAGTTCCGTTTTGCGTTCTCTTCTGGTTATCAGCCGCTAAAGGTTGTCCACCACGCCGACCAACAGTCCTTTTACCAACCAATGCGGGTCGGTTGAGTGCCTGATAAGGTACTCTACCTCGTGCACTGGTTGGATCTTTGACTGTCGATTCAGCTTGGCTGACATCCTTTACTGGTTGTCCACCATCAGAGTTATCGCCTGTGATTCTAGCTGACGGAGTTGAGCTTGCTGTCGGAGCTTCCGGGCATCCGCCCTTATACCTCTTTGCTAGCTGCTCTTCCTCCAGCGATGATTCCACATGCGATAGTCCGCTGAGTCGATCGGCTAGTTGTTCAACCGATCTTGTGGCTTTTGCAGCCTTTTGCCTCTCTCTTCTTCGCTTCTGCTTCTCCCTCTTGTTCAGACGGATACGCTCGGCCAAGTCGAGATCAGTCTTTGTCATGTTTCCAACTGTTTTGGTTAACGGATCAGCCTCTTGCGGGGCTTCTTCGTCCACCATTTTGTTGGTCTCATGACCGTCATGCGTTGTGGTGTCTGAAGCTAAGGCTATCAGCTCGGTCTGTGAGGCCTCATTGTCCACCTTATCAGCATCAACCACTTCGCCTTGAGTTGGTATATTTAGAATTTGTTTATCAATTTTGATTCCCACGAGTTGCGAAGAGAGATATGTCCACCTGCGGAGAGCTTCGCATTGCACAGGTAAGGCTGTTTAATACAGGAGGTCGCCAGGTATCCTGAGTTCGCTACTAAGACTGCTTCTACCCCAGCAGCCAAGCTAAAGGCGTAGCTGTTCCACCTTAGTTTGGGGGGTTTTATTTCTAATACAGACAATCCATTTATTCACACATTCATACAATCATTCTCACTGCTCATACACTAAAAGGGTGTTTTCCTTCACCCCGCCCGACTATCTGCGTCAAACGATAAGCAGAGACATGACCGTACTTATCGCTTGACAGTTGACCTGATAGATAGTCGCACTTCCCGAAGGCTGCTCAACTTAGCAGGGCCTGAGCAAATGCCGGGCCGACCTGCTAGCAGAAGGGTCGTCTTATCAGGAATCGTAGCAAGCTACTTTGACCTGTGCGCCCTCACGACTTACCAGGAATCGTAGAAGTTCTACTTTAACCTGTGCATTTTCTCTTTTAGTCGCCTTTTACGACAAGCAGAGACAAACTGAGGTGGTATTCTTATCCCGCCACCACACGGAAGAGCAGCAATCTATGTAAGAGCAATTCTAAAAACAGGTACAATCATAGTACGGCTACTTTGCTCAAAATCAAGAGTAGCGCCATTAAAAAGGCAAACAATTCCACGATTAAAATTGTGCGCAGCACTTCTGGGAGCCCAACTGTTAGCGAAGGTTAAACAAGTTCTTACATACGATAACCACAAATACTTTTTATGGACAGACTCACAAGTTGTATTATACTGGATCAACTCTAACTCAAATATTTTTCAAACATTTGTAGCACATAGAGTAGCACGAATTCATGAAATATCTAATGCAAGCCAATGGCGTCATGTAAGGTCCAAATTAAATCCAGCAGACCACCTATCAAGGGGTTTACAACCTACGGAATTACATTCCAGTCACATGTGGTTTTTTGGACCACTGTTTTTATATGGAAGCGAATCATCATGGCCAGGTCCAATTGCTCAGGAACATCTTATAACTGATCATTCTGAAACCAAAAGGAGGGCGCTTGAAATGCAATGCTCAACACAACCTTCAATCGTAACTTCAGCAATCACCAGCATTACTGAAGATTTCATCTATAAGATCAATTATAGAAACTCGTTTGCAAGATTGCAACGAATCATTGCGTACGCACTACGATTTGTAAAATACTCCAAAGGCAAAGAAAACAGGCACACTACCTCTTTAATATTAAGTCCAGACGAGTTGAACTCATCATTACAAGTAATCATACGTATAATACAACAAAGCGATTTCAGGGAAGAATTGCAGCAATTACACTCAAATGGAACAGTGCACAAAACTATTTCTCTCTTCAGTTTAAGTCCATTCTTAAATAGTAACGGAATTCTAAGAGTCGGAGGTCGACTTTCATCATCACTTATAGCTTATGATACCAAACATCCAATGGTATTGCCATATAATGATTAAATTGTGAAAAGTGTTTTCGTTGATGTTCATAGAAAAAACATGCATTGTGGTGCACAAGCATTATTGCCACAAATCCGACTTCAATTTTGGCCCATCAAGGGAAAGATAATGGCTCGATCAACGGTTCAACATTGTGTCCGCTGCACAAGAAGCAGACCAACAACATTTCAACAAATAATGGGTCAGCTACCACCAGCGAGAGTTTAACCTTCAAGGCCATTCTACAATGCAGGAGTAGATTTTTGTGGACCATTTTGGGTTCACTACAAAATCAGAGGAAAAAGACCACACAAGGTTTATGTAGCAGTGTTTTGTTGTTTTGCCACAAAAGCAGTCCATTTAGAAGTGGTGAGCGACTTAACTTCTGATGCATTTATTGGTGCACTGAAGAGGTTCATAGCTCGACGAGGACATTGCAATACGCTGCATTGTGACAATGCTACAAATTTTGTTGGTGCGAACAATAAATTAAATGAATTATCCGAACTGCTACGTAGAACTTCTGTTCAAAATAAAATAGTTCAAACATACAGTGATAAATTAATCACATTTAAATTCATTCCACCTCGAACTCCACATTTCGGGGGTCTTTGGAAGGCAGCTGTTAAATCAGCTAAATATCATTTAGTTCGAAGTACATCAACAGCTTCATTAACCTATGAAGAGTTGGAAACGATCATTGTGGAAATTGAAGCAATATTGAACTCAAGACCATTAACACCAATGTCATCAGATCCAAACGATCTTGCCGCATTGACACCAGGTCACTTCCTAATTGGTGAACCACTCACTGCACCTATAGACACCAATGTTCATGGGACAAATCACAACCTACTTACCAGGTGGAAATTGGTTTCTCATTTGAGACTTGAATTTTGGAAAAGATGGAACGCTGAGTACTTAACAGAACTACAACAGCGACATAAATGGAAGGTTCCTGTTGACAATGTCAAAGAAAACACGATGGTCATAATCAAAGAAGACAATACAGCTCCACTTAACTGGCCCTTAGGTCGTGTTATGAAAGTGTTTCGAGGCGATGATGGCATGGTACGAGTAGTGGAAATGAAGATAGTTGCAGGAATTTGTAAACGGCCTATTCATTTGCTTGCTCCACTGTTTCGAGAAGATGAAGAGAAAGACGAAAAACGAAAACATCATTCAAACATAAGCCAGGAAGATACCTTGGTAATTCCATCAAAGAAAATAAAGTTGCCCCAACAAACAACATTATTCGCAATTATTCTCACACTATTCTTTCTGCCAATTATATTGGGCAATCCTGTAACCACAACACAGCTTAATTCAAGTATTGGTCTCTCCTTCGAAAATATGGGCACTGTTTAGATGGTAACAGGTGAATGGAAAATGGTTGTTTATTATGAATTAGCTCCAGTACAGACTCAATATAATACATTCGTTAATGGAATTTCTGCACTAGATAAATTGTGCATCAAACTACAGCAGGATTCGGCTTGTCACACGCTCGTAGGTACGTTTGAGCATACAAGAGATGATATCCTACAGGAGAAGATTTTATTAAACAACAGACGAGATAAACGAGGAGCCATAAACCTCGTTGGAAATGTGGCAAAGGCTTTATTTGGGGTTCTGGACTCAAATTACGCAGAGGATATGTCACAAACAATAAATCAGCTAAAGGAAGATGATAACCACCTAGCTAGATTGCTGCAGAATCAAACCTCCATAATAGATTCAACATTAAATATACTTAAACGTGATGAAGAAACTGTTAATAGTCAACTTGGTCAACTTCAAGATCAAATTAGCCAAGTACTAAATCGAATCGACAATGAAACCGAACAAATTAAAATTACGCAGATATTCATATCAATTGCAATACAATTGACACTGATGGGTGCTAATTTGCAAAGAATACAAGCGGAAATTATAAATGTTTTAATTGACTCTCATCACGGAAAAATAAGTCCTCTATTGTTATCACCTCAACAACTCAAAAATGAGATTAAACATATAAGAAGTCATATTCCACCATCTCGACGATTTCCGGTTAATCAAGATGATTTAGTTCAACTCTACAAAATAATGGAAATATCTGGTGCAGTAACTAAGGAACAAATCATATTTGTTATTAAGGTACCACTTATAGATTCTTATGACATGGAACTATTCAGAATATTACCTATACCAACAGTTATACACAACACCATTTTAACAATCAAAAGTGATGTCTCGTTTATAGCAGTAAACACATTTCGAGATCAATACATTCCCCTGCGAGAAAATGAGCTAGATAATTGTCAAATTCCGAACAAGGCGGTGTATGTTTGTTCTAGAAAGCATATAAAACTAGGCAGATACGCAGAAACTCATACGTGTGAGAAAGAATTATTTAATAATCGAACCACAACAAGCTGCAGATTAACACAGTTATCCAATAAGATGGTTTGGACGAAAATGGAACAAACAAATCAATGAATATATGCTACAGTGAATAGAACTGAGATGTCATCTGTTTGCGGAACACAATTAAATCAAGTCACGATAGAAGGATCGGGGATTTTAACATTACGACCAGAATGTACAATAAGAAACAATCTAGTTACAATTCAAGGTCATTACTCATTGCCATCTGTAGTTCATTCATCATTTGTTCACGTAGAACAGCTTGCATCCATAACTACACCAAATGAAATAAAAACAATCATCACCAAGGCTGACGATCATCTTGAGACACAACTGAAAGAACTATCAATGTTACATCAAAGGTTAAAGGCTATGGATAAGTTTTCAGTTAAGGCCGAACCAGTTTCTCAACCACACCATATAATTAGTTACGTGGGAACTATTTTACTGCTGACATTGTGTTGCACTTACATAATATACAAATCTATGAAGAAGTGTAAACAAACCCGACGAAAAGATGATTCACCTCAATCTGAGTCCACAGCATATCCACAACCTACCCCAAGACGGCAACAGCTCGTTGTGGAAGTATAAGTAGTTGAGTTATTATTATACCACTCAACGGAGGGGAGAATGTTAAGGTAGAAATTAAGTAATAAATAAATTATTTCACATTGTTAAATTGTGTCATTCAATTTATATTTTAAGCAATTTAGCAATTGTGAAATAATTTATTTTGAATATTTATGTTAAGCTGAGGCAACAACTTAATTGGAGCAACGGTGAAATATGCAACCTTGCATTTTGCATTATTAATAGTGTTCCAATTAATTTGTTGCTGAGGTATAATTATTATTAATAAAATTATTGCACAAAAATTGTATAAAAGAAATTGAAACAATAAAGAAAGTAATCAATCAATAAAAACTATTCTTTGATTCTTGTCGAAAACCTAATTCTGCTTTATATAGAGTAAGTTTCAAGTGCTTAATCTATAACCAATAAGCAATATTCAATAAGTTAAAGTGCTTATTGAATATTATAAGAATTAAGGCTTTTCAAATATACACATTACTTTAAAAATTTAATAATTTAAAATAACGAAGATTCAATAATTTTTATAAAATATCTGATTAACCGAAAATGTTAAATTTACTTTTGATTTATTTAATTAATTTTATATCGTATTTTGTAAATACTATGTTCATATATTTTTCTACACTATTTAAAAAAATAAAAACAAAATAAAAAAAAAAAAATATATATAATTACAATTACGTATAATTATATATTTATATAATTACATATATAATTACAATTTTATATGTATATACCTCTATGTTTTCTTAAAGTGCATGTCCATGTTAGCATTTCCTTTAGATAGCAAAATAGAAAAACAAGATAGCAAAATATATGTGCGGTCCCAAAGCTAAATTCGACAGGCCACAAGCCAATGTGGTGAATGAACTAGAAATATTAGATAACAAGGGGGACATTACATGGTATCTTATAGTCGTAATATTAATACCATTTTCACAAATGGCAATAAAATTATACCAATTACACAAAAACGCACTAAAAAAAAATACACGAGAGCAATATCAGTTGCACAAAATTTAGACAGTGTATAATATTTGTTTACACTTCCACAAAATTCTATTTTCTATTTTCCCCAATCAATTGCCTTTCAATCAATTTTTTTCAACCAATTACTTTTTCTTTCGATCAATTGCCTATAATCACCATCACCTAATGGTAGATGGAATGGCAACAGATCATAATTAAAATCAGTGCCCATAAAGAAGTTTTTGACAAGTCGTATAAAAGCCTAAATATTAATAGGCACACGACATCAGAAACAATCGAAAAGCACATAAACATCCTCCTTCATAGTTTAGAGAATATACGAGTAATACTAAACGTAAATTACTCGCGGCTTACTTTAGAACATAAAAAACAAGCCGAAAGTTTTTTTATAAATAACAGAGAGAAAATTTTAAAAATCTCTGTAAAAAAGGCATAGAAATAAAATTGCCTGATAAAATACATGAGAAAATCTCATATAACTACACGTTAATAAAACCAGAAAACATTGACACTAACAAAATGCCACAAACATCAATAGAATTCTTGGGAATCGCATCTAAAATCGTATCAGATTTTGATGGTACTCCCGAAAATTTGGTAAGTTTTGTAGCATCACTAGAACTTCTTAGCAGTGTCAATGATGGCAATGACGTAGTTGCAATCAACCTAATAAAGACAAAACTAAAAGGAGCAGCAATAAATCTTATCACAGGATCAGAAACGACGATACCACAAGTAACAGAATCTCTAAAGAAGAAAGTTAAAGGCGAATCCGTTGATGTCGTCACTGCAAAGTTGATGAATATTCGTCAAAATTCCAAACCGTCGAATACATATGCCAAGGAAGTCGAAGAGCTTACAAAAAAGCTACAGTGTGCATATTGTAATAATTTTAATGTTTATTTTTGTAATCGTATTATTTAAAAATCAAAGACAGGTCGTTTTGAGTGTTCATTAGAGACTCATTTTATTAAATTTTTATTCTTAACTCTAACATAATTTCTTACAACTAATTTCCAATAGAATCTTATGTATTGATTCTATTGGTTAATACTTATAATACTTGCGTCTAATTGGTTAACCCAAATTAGACGTATATAATATTCTTACAGACATAACTTATCAATAAATGGTGTACTATTAACTAATGCAAGTGTTCTACATATGGTTTCACTTGAAACCGTTTATTCTATTGACACAGTTTTGACTTATGCATATTGCACATATGGTGCAATGTGCGGCTCAGTTATTTGTCATCAAAGTAATGACAAAATAAAGGCTCATATTTCCTGACAATAGTTTGTCATAAATTTTATCAAAATAGAACTGTGTCAATGTTTACTTTAAAATATTTAGAACAATTGAATGTTTTGTGATATGTGTGGTCTCATACCCATATCACATTACACCCTTATTCTTTAAAGAAAAAAAAAATTTTTTTTTTTTTGAAGTATATTTATTATATCATTATTTCTTTAATAGAACTTGAACTTGCAAAACTAACATGTAATAAGTTTTTATTTATAATTAAAAGTTATTAATGATAATTGAAGTAATTGCATATTACATTACATATATTGTGCTTATTTTTATATGAAGTTTTCTTACTCTATTTTTGTTTACTAATGATTAATATAATAAAGATTATGAATTGTATAAAGTTATTAATATTATATATAGATAATAATAATTGTATTTGATGACAATTATTAATAATAATTATGTTTTGTATTATTTTTATGTATTACTTTATTTTCTTCACCGTCATTTATCGTTAAATTAGTGCCATTAATATCTATTACTTCAAAGGGGCCTATGTATGGGCTAGTGTGTTTTCTTTTATTCTGAGATTTTACTAATACTTTATCTCCTATTTCTAACCTAATTGGATTATTATTATAATTAGTTTGTTTTTGTCTTTTAATTTTGGCATCATGTGTGAACTTTCTAGCTTTTTCAATCGATACTTTGAGACGAGCTTTCAATTCGTTCGCGTAATTTTCTAAATTGAATTTACCTATATCATCCTTGAGTTTTTCATCAGGAAGTGAGGGTAGTTTGCCAAAAACGAGTTCATGTGGCGTATAGCCAGTGTCTATGTGGGGTGAGGTATTATATGCAAAAGCATAGTATGGTATCCATCTGTCCCATTCTTCTTCTTCAGTAAAATTTAAAAGATATTCATTGAGGACTCTATGATTCCTTTCTATTGTACCAATTGTTTCATGGTGGTAAGGAGTTGAGAATACTTGTTTTATATCTAATAATTCTGTGATTTTTGTAAATAATTCATTTACAAACTCAGTTCCTCTGTCTGATTTGAGTATTTTGAATAAACCGAATTTTAATATTAGTTGTTCAATTAATGTTTTAGCTACTGTATGTGTTTCTTTTTTTACTATTGGATATGCAATGATGAATCTACTTAATTCACATTGCATTGTGAGAATATATCTAAATCCATTTGAAGGACGAAGAGAACCTACGGTATCAATTTCTATTGTTTCGAAAACGTTTGTAGGTGTTGTTGTAATTTCTAATTGTTCTTTTGTATGTTTCGTTTGTTTGTTGATTTGACATTTGTGACATGTACTGATATATTTATGAACCATTTGTTTCATTTTGCTCCACGTATACCGTTGTTTTAATTTTGTGAAGGTTTTCCTTACACCTAAGTGTCCGCTGTAAGGAGTATTATGATATTCTTCAATGAGTCTGTATCTTTTTATTGTATCCGTGATTTGTTCTGGACTTTTATAAATTAATATTTTGAGACGTTTTTCGTTTTTATTTCTTCGTTGCAACGTATTTATAATATTCTTAAATTCTTCTTTTGCCATGGCATCAAATATTGTATCTTCTTGTGCTAGCGCTAATTCATAGATTTTAAAATTTTCTATTTTGGATATGAGTTTCTCCATGATCGAAATCGGCTTCGTAGGTACTTCGCTCATTTCCACTTTTACTACATTATTCACAATGTGTAATTTTTCTTTATTATTTTTATTTATATTAAATAAAAATTTCGGATGGACTTACACCGACGCTAGCTGAATATTATTCAACTAAGGCAGCTGTTAAGGCGATAATAAAAAAAACTAGCAACGATAGAGTTCGACTAGTAATAGAATCGGGAACTTTCAACAACATGAGTGAGGTGGTAGCAAAATTCGTAAACTCCTGCATGGAATCAAATAGTCAACCATCCGCAATACTACATTTCGGAAGTAGACGCGGACAATTTAATGAACGCGGACAATCCTATAGACGTGGACAACCAAATGGACGCGTACAATTTCGAACACGCGGGCAATATAGGAACAGCTACAATAGTAATAGCGGATATAATCCTATTAATAGAAATAACTACCAGAACAACAGAGTACAAAACAGAGGAAATGTTCGTATTATACAGGAGACGGAAAACGAGTCCACCCCAGGTGCTCAATTATTAAAAACATCAACAGAAAAATATATAATATTAA